TTTTTTGGTATTGAAGATTGAATTCAGGGCCTCATGCATGCCAGGCAAACTGTCTACCACTGAGCTACACCCAAGACCTTTTTATTTTTTGAGACAGGATATCACTAAATTGTCCCAGCTGACCTCTAACTTGGGATCCTTCTACCTCAGCCTCCTGAATTGCTGGATTACAGATGTACACTACTGCACCCTGCTGAGACATGTGTGACTGTGTTCATAGCAACTAACAGGGAGTAGGAGGGTTGAGTGATCTGGCCACAAGATCATTCTCTCTGAAGATATCTAGAATCACTGTATCAAAAGTTATTTAAATTCTTACCCGAAATTTTGCTCTATGAATAATGACTTTGTCAATATCCTGGATAAAAATAATCAAACAACTTCCCAGGTGTTATTTGTAGAAAAGAGCAACAAATAGAATTATTCAAACATTAAGAATAAAAAGATCTCTGGGCTGGGGATTTAGCTCAGTGGTTTTGCCGCCTGCTGCGCAAGCACAAGGACCTGAATTCGATCCCTGGTACCAAAAAAAAAAAAAAAAAAGAATAAAACGATCTCTAAAGCCCCAATTTTATCATTAATTTGAGGACACAAATTCTCTATCTCTCAAGTAAATAGGAAAAACTTGGACAGAGAGCCAAAGCTGATAGAACCTGAGCTCTGTAGACAGTTCTTCCCTGGCCCCTGCCCGAGCCCATAGCCAAGTTGCAGCATGAGCACCCTGGGAGTGCAGGGCAGATGGAGGAACACCCAGGCCCCTTCCAAGCTGACATCATCATGTCCTTCATCTCCAGCTCAGAGCAGAGCCTCACCTGGTGGTAACCATTGTAGTCCATATTGCCTGGGAGTGGGAACCCCGGGGCCAGGTACAGTTCCCCTTCTAGCATATCTGGTTTAATGAATTCCTCCAGATAAGTTCTGCAGAGCCTCCTGTCCCAGTCATCTGTGATATGGCCTCCATACATGATCTCACCGAACAGGTAACGCAGATCATCATAGGGCACCTGAGAGAGGGGACAGAGATGACAGAAAGGTCTCCATACAGGCAGTGGGGCTGACTTGGTGTGCAGGCAGAGCATCAGCCACAGTTGGAATGATTCTTAAGGTCAGGAAGTGTCCTATCTTTATATCACCAGGGTCCAGCTGTACCAGCATGTTTTGGGAGCTTGTTAAATACTTAAAGAGGAATTATAGCACATGGTGAGGAGAGGAAAGGTGCCAAACCCCATATAT